TGTGGATGCGAATGCCAAAAATGGAATCAGTAACCAAAAACATTAATGCGCTTAATGACCAAATATCTTATTTTTGTGATGACTGTTTCGTGAGATATTCATATTTAATGAATTAAATGAGCTTTCATGTGAAAGCCAAAAAGTCCACATTGATAGGAATATAAACTACATCATGGTCATTTTAATGAACGTGAATTCGGATATAACACGATGAGTCGATGGACCCTGTTTTTCTCTTATAATTATATAGCCACGTATATATAACCTTATGGATATATATAACATTATATATAACATTTAATGGACCCCAACCATCACGTTATAACAGGGCTACACTGTATATAATTTACTGCTCGTGGTATTTCAGTGATCAAGTACAGGTGACATTATAATGAATTTATATTACTTACCCTTAATATGATGCCTCAATAGCCATCTCTGTACCCCGTCCTCATCATATCGTACAAAGTAGTTTCCTGCTAATATAATAAAAAAGTAAAACTATAAAAAAAATTGCAGAAACATGGATATGCCATTTACTAACGAAGTCATCAATATAGCAAGCTATTTATATTAATATGCACCTTTGTGTGTGTAGGGTTATACAGGGGTGTTATATATATATATATATATATATATATATATATATATATATATTATATATATATATCTATCTATATATATATATGGTGTATATACACCATATACCTGTGTATAACGTGTATATGTTACAATTGTAACTGTAAAGGAAAATTTTCAATTGAAGTATAAATACATATACAATATATACATGTAAATTATAAAATATCGCACAAAATGATGCAAAAAATTATTTGAAATAGAAGCAATGAATGGGTTTGTTTTCACTGGCAATATGAAGGCTGAAATTTAAGAAAAAACTACACTTACCATCAGATTGCTTGAGTACACAACCTGTGTACCATTCTCCATTTGGTGAAACAAGCAGAGAATTCTTCTTCTTTTAAAATTTGTTTTCTATAAAACACAAGAAACACAAACTTCAAAATTTAATACAGGAGTTCACTGAAAGTTTGTTTGCCTTGTTGGTTTTATTGTCGAACGTACTAAACTAATAGACTAATAGTAACAACGAAGCTATTTATTATAATATAAGCCTGCTAAAGCCACATAGGTAGGTGTAATATAGGAATTAGGATTAATAGGGCATAGATAGCGTATGTCGGTATGATAATCAACATGTGTATCTAACTACAGCCTATACTATAGTAGTGCGCACTGTACACAGTACAGTAGTAGTAGTAGTAGTAATGTATAGACTAGACCGGCGTCTAGGTAAATCTATAAATAAGATAAAGTAACCCTGCGAGAGAGGCTACGTACGTTATCGTATTTCGGTAATCTAGTACACCCAGTAGCTTAATTTAGGTCGATTATAAGTATTAATTACTAACGTTGAGTTTGTCTAAAACATAGGGTCATAAATACGGCCAGGATACACCCGACATGTATAGGGCCTATACTATAGAAGCGTATGCTAGTTCAAGTTGTTGCAGGAGTGCCTGATTAAACTGAGGTTAGCAGATCATTTGTTTAATTAATAGACTTTGTGTCCATACGTAATTACAGGTAATCATAACCTTACCGTCTGCTATTAAGTTAATTTAGGATTAATAGGGCATAGATAGCGTATGTCGGTATGATGATCAACATGTGTATCTAACTACAGTCTATACTATAGTAGTGCACTGTTACTGTACACAGTACACAGTACAGAGCACACAGTACAGTGTACAGAGTACAGTGTACACAGCACAGTAGTACACAGTACAGTAGTAGTAGTAGTAGTATTACTAGTAATGTAGACTATATGCCGGCGTCTAGGTAAATCTATAAATAAGATAAGGTAACCGTGCGAGAAGAGGGCTATACGTACGTTATCGTATTTAGGTAATCTAAGTACACCCACTGGCCAGTAGCTTAATTTAGGTATATTATAAATATAAGTATTGAGTTGAATTTGTCTAAAACATAGGGTCATAAATACGGCCAAGATACACCCGACATGTAGGGCCTATAGAAGCGTAGTTCAAGTTACACCAGGAGTGCCTGATTAAACTGAGGTTAGCAGATCATTTGTTAAATTAATAGACTTTGTGTCCATACGTAATTACAGGTAATCATAACCTTACCGTCTGCTATTAAGTTAAACTTCTGCCGCCTTCGCAACGCCATAATCGCCATTGTGCTACTGACTATGCAGTACCAAACACGCATGCGCGTGACGTCATCCGAGTGGGACGAGTGGGGACTTCTCCACTCGCATCCAAATGGTCATGCTTGCAACACACACACACCGCGGGAAAAACACCACACAGAAAGCGTAAAATTTTGACGTGTGGGGACAGTAACATATTTAGTTACTAGGTGACAGCACATGACGAAATATACGATAAACTGCTATCTTTACGAGTGGGGACGTCCCCGGTTGTCAAGTGTCCCCAGTTCGTGAGTTAAAAACTTGAAAATGTCCCCAGTTGTCGGTGATTACAAACACACACACACACACACACACACACACACACACACACACACACACACACACACACACACCACACACACACACCCACACATCGTGACGGCACGTCACGCACCACACGGCAACACAGCACACACACGACACACAGAACTTACCCCGTCTTTTTTCTTTCTCTACTCCTCTCTTCTCGCTATATACGGGCGGCGGTGGATGGTCTCAGGTCATCTCTCGATCTCTCTCTCTCTCGCCTTTCTGCTCTCCCCTCTTCTGTTCTCTCTCCGCTCTCTCTCTCTTCAGCTTCGTCTCTTGCTCTCATCTCTCTCTCTCTCTCTCTCTCTCTCTCTCTTTCTCCTCTTCTCTAGGTCTCGTTAAAGAGCGTGTGGTCACATCACTGTTTTACCGTAAGGCGTCACCTCTGCTATTAGCCAGAACAGATCGGCGAGGCTGTATCCGCGCTGCAACCACGGCATCTCAACTCCACGCGACAGCTCGAAATTCTCATCCGTAACAAACATGGCCGCCAAGATAACGCAGGCGACCAGCTGCGCGAACGCGAACAGCTTCACTATTATTGCCAATGAGTTTCCATACAGATCGATGAAGCGTGCGGGGCGGGAACGACGCGACGTCGTGCACTCCACCGACGTCGCCGTCGTCGTCGCTTGTCGTCTAGCAAGTTTGGAAGCTTGCATAGCGTTGCTATCCGTAGTATTCTTCGCCTCCCGTTGAATTCCTTCCGACGGCTTCTTCTCGCCGCTAGGCAGCGCTGTCGTCGCATCTACTCGACCGACGGTTTCTCCGCTCCTCTCGGGTGTTGTCGCCACGCGTTTGCTGACGGTGTGCGGACGTGCCTCGCCGTCCACAGCCTCGTTCTCACGATGGATCGTCACGCGCGTACCGCACCTACACCACAGCGTGTAGCGGCGGTACCGGTGCTGCCCTCTGGCGTTACGACAACTCTCCATGTACTCGGCCGTGCACAGTCGCATCATATCTTCCAAATGCCGATCGAGTTTGAAGCAGGCGACGCAGTCGAACGCACCGGCGTTCACCTCCTGGTCTACACTACTAAATAGCACATCGGGGTCGCAGTCGATCGGAGACAATACTCCCGCATTTTCTGAAGACGTAGCGAGTTCCACAAGCGGCGATGACGTCAGATGTTTTTCTTGATGTTCGTCGGTGTCAACTGTCGTCACTAGGGGGCGGGTCGATGACACATGGTTGCTATCGCTTGGTGTTGTACTGCAGGAGAGAAAAGCGGGTATATTTCAGTTTATCCATATGACTGCAAAATGTAAATATATACGATAATCGCCACACTGTCGACTTAAATCGAATCGTTTTATTGAGTTATTCGTTTAATTTTTATTGTAAAGACAGACAGTCAGACAGACGGACAAACGGGCGGGTGGACGACAGACNCACACACACACACACACACACACACACACACACACACACACACACACACACACACACACACACACACACACACACACACACACACACACACTACAGCACTCCCCCGTTCTGCCGCAACCCTATTATCCTCTCAAAATTAGAAAAGTAAACGTTACGCGTGCATACATCTCGAGGCGCGGACACGCAGCGCGCGGCAAGAGTCGTCGTCGTCATCCCGGACGCACCCCCCCCCACCGTCGGCCGACGAGCGAGCGAGCGACGAGCGTGAGCGAAAGTCGTCGTCGCCCGTCGTCATTCCGGACGCCCCCCGCGCCGTCGGCCGACGAACGAGCAAGCGACGAGCGTGAGTGAGAGTCGGTAGTCGCCAGCCCTTCATCCCGGACGCCCCCCGCGCCGTAGGCCGACGAGCGTGAGTGGAAGTCGCCTCACGTGCTGCGCTCGCATATATAGAGGATACGATCATCCTCCCCGTGTCACAATGCCCGCCCCGTGCCACAATGCCCGCCGCTCGGCCACCTTTGTGCGCGCATGGCACGTGACCGTGACGTCGTCGCGTCGGCCGACGTCGCCGCTGAATGCGCTGTCGTCGTCCTGATGCACGGCATGATCCCGTCTCGGCGCCGATCGCTGCGTCCTACACGATAGATGACAGCATGACACAAAGCGAGCGCCGACGTAAGTGGCATTAATAGGCGCGCGGACGGTTTCTAAACCTTGCTGACATCGAATGATATTCTTAGTGTCTCTCTCTCTCTCTCTCTCNCTGTGATCAGCATCGCGCCAAATAGTATATTCGCACCGGTGCGAATAGGGACCGCGATTTTGATGCTATTCGCCACCGCCTGGCGCGATACGCGGAACGGGGAAGGGACACGGTATGATTTGGGGCTTTGGTCTTATGTTCGCCCACCGGGGGGGCCGTGCAGCGTGAATAGGCCAATTGGGCACAGGTAAAACATGAACCATACATCACAACATGCAGGTCACGGTATATTAACGATCCGCAGTCGACATCAACACACACACACACGAACACAGGACACACGTAATTTACATCTCGACACACAAAACACTGTTTAACGACGACACACGGATAAAATCCTACCCAGTACACACACGGCGGCCATCATCAACACACACCCACATACACAAATCGTGGCGGGATGCTGCTAGCGAAGTGAAGTATATGTAGATCAGATTTTACCATGTGCACGTGCTGTCAGCCTGCCCGGCTCCAGTTTGAACGCATAGGAACGGCCGAAGAATATTATCTTGGCAGTCAACGGCGACCGACGTCGCAGCGCCATTTGCCCATACATTAGCATAGCTGGGAATTGTAGCGCGATGCTGCGAGCAAAGTGAAGCATGTAGACTATGCACACGAGATATTACTATCTACGAGATATTTATTTTTTTTGCGGAAGAACGACAACCGGCACCTCGCTGTCTGTCATTTTTGACCCAGGAACGATTGTGTTGCCTCCATTGTGTTGTCGCATTCGTAGCGCACAATGACAGCGTCGAATGTGCTTCTCGGCAGTCGTTTCCAACAGCACTGGTCCGGGGCTTGTCCATCAAAGGCTGTGTCAGCATCGGTCGTCACCTTTCTACGCACGGTGTGTCCTTTGACGAATAGATTTTTCCTGTTCTTCAAGCGATTCGATATCGGTTTGCCAGCTCTGTCGTTAGCAATTTCCGGCACGGCTGACATGTTGCCGATGGCTAAGTATGATTTAATGCGAGCAGAGGTTCCTTATATACTAATTTCCAGCGTTACTATACTAACGTCATTCTATGACGTTTATGCTGACGTAGGTGTCAGCAGGTGATTTTAAACGTTTCCTAGTAAGGGCTGCATGTGATTTCCAGGAGTTGGTCATTGGAATCTATGGTTTTTACCTCGTTTAGTTTTTGCCTGGTTGTAATTGCTTTTACTACGGAATGCATGCACACGTGGCCTCCTTATCGTGCACATTGACTGTCACCACGTCTTTTCTAGTATAAGCAATTAACTATTGAAAATATAGGAAAACATGGGGTTGGGGAATTTATTCTTAAAAATCAGGGGCCAAGGGATCAAACTTAAAACTGTTAAATTCTAATTGTGAGGTGTCTACTACAATGTTGTGATCGAAACTAATAGTTGATATCGTCTTCTTTTTTGTTGCATTGCCGTTCGAAAGTCCACGAATTCCGAGGTTTTCGCCGCCCGCCGACCGAACAGTGGTGCCAGGATTAGTGACATAATTCGTGACAGGAATGCACGAATAACTTTATTTTTTCATCGTGACGTCACAACGTGTTGAGGTTAGCATAATATGCAAGCGAAAATTTTTTAGCAGAAAATATCATCTGCTTTAAGGTATGACGATGGCAAATCAACCAATCAGCGCTGGGACAGGTCAGAAATGAGTTCCTTTTTGAGTGTCTGCGTGCGCTAGAATTTTGTATTTCTCATTAGAAAGGATTATAATTGTTTGCAATTGTAATTTCAGAAACTAGAATCTTTTCTGAATCCGACAATGTAAACGGCTCGTCCGAGGTGCGTTGCTGGGGCGGCCCATAAATTTTCAAAGAAAACCTACTTTTTGTGCAGATTCAAATTGTAAATTGGCTATTTCTCGTGTGCGCTGCGAAAGTTTTGTTTACAAGAGAAATTATGGAAGCATTTTTTTGTTAATAAAATATATATTGTCACTTGCGACGTGTATTCAGAGGATGGCATTATTAGTTGTAAAAAACCTTGTGCTGATTTATGGGAATTTTTTCGTAAGTATGGCCGTCTATGGGAAAGCATTTCCCAGTGTGGACCCATAAGAACGGCGTGAATCGTGAAAACAAAAGGTTCGGTGCTGCCACCTATTTCCGTTTCGAAATCTTGAGTTTGCTTCGATTATTGTACTTGTTTACTTGCGAACATGTGTTGTGTTCAAATGAAGTTGCAGTTTGCGTCGATAAATGTGTTTGTCTTGAAACTTATTTGCTTCGTCTCGAATTTTATACGTTTGCCAACATATTTGTAATTGTGCTTGCGTTTTGTCCCTGTGGGCCACCGTATAATTAGGCTCGTGCCAAAAACGTCCGTGTGAACGCGCGTTTGAATACTTCTATACTTGAAAAATATACATTTATACGCGCCTCGATTTCACTTCAGGTAAGTCCAAGCAGGTGAGTCAGCATGCATAAAACCGGCCGCCAGCTCTAAATAATCAATCGCTATGATCACAGTGCCATCTTTTGGGTATTGTAGTTTGTCAATTATAATGCAATAATTAGAATTAGAATTAGAATTGTTATTTATATGCAGTATGCGTATCTTTTTCTTCACATTTCACATCTTCACTATTCACTATTCACTATCTTCACATGCTTCTATGCACATCACGTTCTTCCTTGAATAGCTGCTACTTGTGGGTGATTAGGGAGGTTTACACGTGAACAAATAATTACATGGATTGCATAGTACATGGATGATGCGAAATTTCTCTCTTCCCGGCTCTCTCTCTCACTCTCACTCTCATTCTCACTCTCACTCTCACTCTCTCTCTCTCACTGACTCTCTCTCTCTCTCTCTCTCTCTCTCTCACTATCTCTCTCTCTCTCTCTCTCTCTCTCATATATATATAATATATATATCGCTCTC